ATCCGCCAGGGGGGCGTGCCCGACCCGAAACTGTTCGTGGCTCTGCTCGAGCCAGTGCCCGCGCCTCGCGACGGCGGGCCGCTCGCCGCCCGGCGGTGCGCGTTGCTGGTCCCGGAAGCACCAGCAGGAAGTCGGGCCTTCTCCTTCTCAATTCCCTCCTCCCCTCGCCGGCCGCCGAGTACAGGGTATTTGTTTCTTCGCGGCCCGTTTTTCGGGGGCGGAAAAGAGGGGGGTGATGACTAGGGGGGGTGGATATCATGGCGGGGGCCATGATATTTCCCAAGATGTCATGGCGCCTCGTCTTGTTTAATTACGTCCCTAGCCCCCCCGCGGGGCCGCGCACATGCCGCCGGTCATGATTTGCACCCCCCCCTCTTGGACACCCCCCTCTTGGCCGCTCCCGAAATTCCCCCTCCCCTCGCCGGCCGCCGAGTACAGGGCCCGTTTCGGGTGGTAGACCTGCCCTTGGCCAGGTCCCCACGGTCGGCGCGGTTCCGCTGGCTCCGCGCTCGGGGCTCCAAAGGGCGGGAGCCACTGCACGGGCCCCCGCGCGCGCAGTGCGGGTGCACCCTCCGCCAAGGCTGAAATCGGGTCTGTCCGTCTACAGGGGGAACACTCCCAAACAATAAAGAAATGCTCAGGGGACGATTCTCTGACCATTTTGTCAGCATTCTTGGAATAGTTTTGAATATTTTCAATTTTTCGCCCGAGCTCCCCCTGTAGTGGGACAGGCCCGACCTAAGACCAGCGCCTTGGGCCAGAGCCCGATGGGCCCGAGACCGGCGGAGAGCTCCAAGGGCCCGCCGCTTCCAGGGCACCGGCTCCTTGTGTTGGGGTCGGGGCAGATCGGGTCGGGTCGGAACAGCATCGTTGCTGCATGTTGGGTTTTCTCTGGTCATCCTCCTCCTCCACATTCTCTTCCTCCTCCTCCTCCTCGTCCTTCTTCTCCTCCTTCTTCTCCAGAGGGAATGTTGACGACGACGACACCGGCTCTTTTTGGTTTATGTCTCTCAGGTCGGCTCGAAGCAGATTGGGTCGGAGGATCGAGCCGCATCGCCGACGGATCGGCGGCGCGGCTCGATGTGGATCCCGGTGTTCTCCGCACCGACGTCGCCGATGCATCGCCGACGTCGGCTGCGCACTGGCGACGCATCGGCGACGCATCGGCGCTGCGCGGCGACGCGGCACGACCCTCGGGCCCCATCTACTCCGATCCCATCTGGGAGGCCTCTATTCGTGCCGACTGGTCAGGGGGGGGGCGGCGGCGGCGTCGTGATAATCTTTTGGGGCGGTGGTCAGGGCCACACGCGCGTGCGAGCCTCTCGCGAGGCGCTGGCAGAGAGCTGCAGGAGCCCCTCGCGGATGCCAAAGGCACACCTCGGGGCCCCGCTCGATCAGAATGTTTGCTTGCATTCCATCATGCACCTCGGGCCCACCTTCGTGTCCCACCAACATCTCGCATTCTCGTTCCGATCACACTTCGGGGCCCGCCTCGCACACAGTGATGCATCACGCTCGCACGGCGCTGCTGGCATTCTTCTGCCGAGCCTGTCTCGAATCTTCGGCGCCACCGCACCCTGGCGCGATTGTGAGCGTCCGTCCGCGTCCATCGTCAAACTCACACGGGTGGAGAGGGAGGAGGAAGAGGAGGAGGAGGAGAAGAGCGAGGAGGAGGAGGAGGAGGAGGACGAGAGCGAGGCGCATCCTGGCGCGACCGGCTCGATCTGGATCCGCCTCCGTGCCAGCGCGGCCCCATCCGACGCACTCTCCGATCCCCTCCGGTTTGCCGATTCGATGCCGACCGCGGGTGTGCCCGGCAGGAGAGGGGCGCGTATCGAGGAGCGGCCCGCGCATGCCGACTGTCCTCGGCATGCCCAGAATCAAGGGAGGAAATCACCACCTACCAAACCACCCCAACCCAACCCGAAGGCCTCAAGTTACCCTCCATTTCCAGTGGGGGGAGGTCGGGGAACGTTGAAAAAACACATGGAACCCGTACCCTCCACAACCCGAAATTCGGGTCAAATTCGGGTCTTCGGGTTGGGTTGGGGTGGTCTGGTAGGTAGTCAGGAAAAGCCACCCGGACCCGACAGTGGGCGTTTACGAAACGGCCCCTGTGCGTCTGTTCAGCAGCCTTGCTCTGCTTGAATCCTTCCCAGGGTGCGTTTGCGAAACGGCTTCGCGTGTCGGGGTGGTTATCATCGGGGTGGGTGTTTGCTTGGGGGCAACGATAAGGGGGGATAGGCATAGGGGGGATGCATCGACCCCCAATCGCCCCCGATGGCCCCGATCCGCCCAGGAAGGTGCGGATTCACGATCGGGGGCCTATCGCCGATCTATCGGCGATGTATCGCCCATTCCAGGCCGATGCATCCCCCTTTATGCCAGTTCCCCCCCTATCGTTGCTCCCTATTTACAAAAGAGGACCCAGACCGCCGACGTCATGATTTTTTCACGACGCGACCCCCAGAGGTCCGGACCCATTCCCCGGGACCGGTTCTTCCTCCCGAGCCGTGTTTTTTGACAGTCCTGCGGGCCGTAATTAAGGACCCCTGGAGGCCGAAAGTGGCGAAACACCTCCCGTCGTCATTCTTTCAGGCCTCGAGGGGGTCCCGGGAGAGGCCCGCGCGCGGCGGTCAAGGCCTCTCGCACTCGACGGGGTCCGGAGGCCGGCGTCCCTTTTCCGCGCCGGCGGCGGACCCGGGCGGGCAGAATGGGGGTCGAGCGAGGGCGGCGGTTAAGTCGAGCCTGTCCCTCTACAGGAGGATGTTCGGCAAAAAAATTATTCCAAAAATGATCCAAGAAGGTCGAAAAATAATCCAAAAATAGTCCCCAGATTATTTTTCTATTATTTTTGGGTTATTTTTGGGCCTGTTTTCATTTTTCGTAGAACTTCCCCCTGTAGGGGGGCACGCCCGATTTAACTCTACAGGAGGAACATTCAAGAATAGTGCCCAAAAAAAATCAGGGGACCCATTTTCTACCATTCTTGACCAGTTTCGGGATCTCTCATGACTATCTCTTATTCTTCGTCCAAAATCCACCTGTGGGGGTACCGACCCGACCTAAGCACAGGGGGGGCGCATCTACCCCCAATCGCCCATGAATCGCCGACAGGGGCCCGATGGCCCCACCCTGGCCAGAAAGGTGCGGATTCACGATCGGGGTCATACCGCCGAGAACACGGCGAGGTCTGTCGCCGATGTCAGGTCGATGCATCCCCCCCTATGCCAGTCCCCTCCCGATCGCTGCCTCGCAGGACAAAGAGCCGGTCAGGCAGACAGACAGACAGGAGCCGTGCCCAGATTCAATCAGTGGCGAGGCGTCTTGGCTTGCTCACAGTCCCATCAGACAACGTTCTAAGGGCCTTTTCTTGGTCTGCACGGATCGTGTTCTTCGAGCATTTCTGGCCGGGGCTGTCTCATCTGAGAACATCGGGTTATGTTATGAGACCTTTGTCTTTGTTCTTGGAACATGTTGGGGGGTTCTAAGAACATCTCGTGGCAGGCCTTGTTGGGACTGCCGGGAGGGTCGGTCCCTGCTCAACAGACGGCACACTGGTGGAGGCTCGCCGGATCCACGAGCACGGGCTGCTTAGAAAGCTGCGCACACGAGCTCGGCCCCCGCTCGCGAGTCCCTCTTGGCGACCGCGTGAGCTCGGACGCCGAGCGTTACCAGCCTCGAACGTATCCCTATCCCTAAGATTGACACGCCAAAAGGCGATGACAATCTTAGGGATTCGCCTTCAAAAAATAAGGGAATCCCTAAGATCGGCATCGTGATGAGGAGGTGCCCAGCATAGGGATAGGGATATGTTCCAGGCTGGTAAGAGCGGGCTCAGAAGGGGACCTCGGGGGTGCTTCGGCCCAGCAGCGGCCCTCGACTGCTCGGCCTCCAATCGCCCGTTCGTCACCGATCGGGGCCCCGGCACGCGACCCCGCTGACCCCAGCGGGTTTTTCGTGCTAACTAGCCCCTCCCCACCCTTGAGCTCTCGGCCGGCAATAGGACTCGTCCATCCCCTCCTCGTCCTTCCCCTCGGCATCATCATCACCATCAGGGGTCCTCATTCCCCCGATGATCAGCAGTGATCGCCGCCGTGCAATTCATTCCTTCCCCTGCTCGGGGGGAGGTGTGTTAGAGACCCTTCGCTATTATTGGGCGCCCATCGCGGACCTATCGGCGATGTCTTGCCGATTCGCCGAGGCGCTTGCGTTTTTGTTCGCGATTGGGAGGCCCTTCGTCGATCCAGCGGCGCTGTACGGAAGTATCGCCGAGGTCGCCGCGCGCGGCGGGCCTTTGCCTGGCGGCGGCCCCCTCGCCGCCTGCCCGCCCGCACCCCGGTCGGCATGGGGTGGTCGGTGCGCGCCTGGCGTTGCCAGCGTTGCGCTCCGGAAAGGGCCTCGCCGTCTTGGGCCGTCTCGGGGGCTTCTCGGGCGAACTTGGGGGCATCTTGGACGCTCTTGGGCCGTCGTGGAGGCCACCTTGGACCATCCGTGGGCGAACCTGATGAGGGCCATCCTGGCCGTCCTGGAGGCCGTCGTGGGCCATCTCGGAGCCTTCGGCGCATCCTCGCCCTGCCGTGCTCGTCTCTTCTCTGGCCCTCCCGCGCGTCACCCCGCTTCCCCTGAGACGCCGCCCTGAGGTCCTTCAGCTCAGCGATCTGGCCCCTGAGCGTCTCCGCGGCGACCTGGGGAGGCGAGGATTTTCCAGAACTGATGGACTTCGGCTCCGTGATCCATCAGTTCAGTATTTTTCGGCTCCCCAGGTCGCCACGGAGACGCTCTCAGGGCCAGATCGCTGCGATGCGGGGCCTCAGGGGGCGCACCCCCGAGGCCCCTCAGGGGGAGGAGGGGGAGGAGGAGGAGGAGGAGGAGGAGGAGGAGGAGGAGGAGGAGGAGGAGGAGGAGGAGGAGGAGAGGAGGAGGAGGAGGAGGAGGAGGAGGAGGAGGAGGGGCCTCCCCGCGCGGCCCCCCGGGCCCGAGAGAGCTCCTGCCCCCAGGGCGCTCGCGTGCGCGGTGCTGTCCGTGCTCCTGCTCTGCGGCGTGGCCCACGTCCTCCTGGCGGAGGACCGCGGGGAGCTGCTGCGCTCTGCGGCTCCCGGGAGGCCCAGTTCAGACTCTGCCCCGGCCCGAAGTCACTGGACGCCCGAAGGTGGGTACGGAAAGAATGGGTGCAGTGCCCACCAGCAGTTCCTGTTCATTTTGAACAGGACTCGCTGTCCGCGCCGCCGCGGCCTGTGTCCATTCGAGAGACAGAAGGCCGCCTGCCCCACAGCGGCCGCTGCTGGTTTGGGACAACATCTGTTGTTGGGCATTGTACCCATTCTTCAAGGGCTCCCTCGAGGGCGCGAAGTTATTCGCGCTTCGCGCTTCGCGGTCTTCGTTCCTTCTCCTTCTCCTCCTCGTCCTCCTATTCTCCCTTTGGGGGGGCGGCGCGAGGGCGCGAAGTTATTCGCGCTTCGCGGAGCGCGAAGCGCGAAGTTGGGAGCCCTTGTTCTTTCGGTACCCATTTCGGGTGTCCAAAAAGTCTGGCGCAGCCCAGCAAGATCCCGCCCAATCTGGCCCGATCCCGCCCAAGCTGGCGTTCCATCCGCCGCGTCCGCGGCCGAGTCCGGCGCAGCGGCCCCCCAGTGGGGCTGAACCCTCCTTGGCCCTTCCGACGAAGACCTCCCAGGAGTTGCCTCCCAAAGTCGTGTTGTTGAGATCGGCGGCGCGCACGGGGGGAAGTGAAAAGAGACGGGCCTCAAGTCGTGTTGTTGAGATTGGCGGCGCGCACGGGGGGAAGTGAGAAGGGGCGGGCCTCTTTGGAAGGTTCGGAAGTTCCCCGGCCTTCTGCGAAGCTTCCTCAGCTTCCCCCGATGGCACAGGAAACATCTCCGATGGTCGGGGGGCTTTTGAGAAGCCAAGCCGACATCTGAGAGTCGACTAAACGTAGGAGTGACCCCTCGCTGGAGTGACCTTTGGTGCGGGCTCATCGGGGCCTCCCCGATCGTGCAGGGCGAAGCGGTAGCAGCAGCTTCCGCACCCAGGTCCACGCCATGCGCGCATCGTAGCAGCAGCACCTTGCGCCCCCCTGATCCACGCACTAAAGGTCACTCTTACCGAGGGTCACTCTTGCGTAAAGCCGAGAGAGTGTCTTCTCTCCAGGCCTCCTAGATGGGGTCCGAATAGGGGGTCGAAGGATCGCTCCGCATTGCCGATGCATCGGCGATGCGGCTCGATGTGGGGCCCGATTGGCTTCACGTCGACGATGCCGATGCATCGGCGATGCGGCGCGATCCTCCGACCACATCTAGTACTCCGTTCCCATCTAGGAGGCCTTTAGACATCTGAGAGGCCCAGGTTTGGCCACCTGGCGCCCCCCTGATCCGTGCTCTGAAGGTCACTCTTACCCAGGGTCACTCTTGCGTGGAGCCGAGAGAGGTTACACGGTTTATTTCTAAGTATTCGAAAGTTCTTTGCTTTTTTGGGGGTCCAGGATCCGTTCGTTTCTAATTGTTCTATCCGGGGCCTCTTCCTGTCCACCAGGGGGCCAGGAACAGTCAGAAACGAGCACAATCCGAAATGAGCAGGATTGGACGTGATCGACGTACATTTTCTCTCTCGCTGCCCCCCCTCGCTCGCCGCCGATTGGAGCACAGCTGGCACGATCGGGACAGCATCGGAGCTTGGCCAGGCGAGGCGGCAGCGGCCCTCACGGTGGCGCCGCGTCCCTCTCGCGCCCTCGCCCGCGGGCCTCTCTTTTGGGGAGGCCTCCCGCCGCGGTGGCTGGACCTCCGCCTCGGGCCGGCACCGACGGCTGGCCGGATGTCGCCTGGATTTTGCTTGGATTTTCCAGATTTACTGGCCTGGAACATATCCCTATCCCCATGCTGGGCATCTCCTCATCACGATGCCAATCTTAGGGATTCCCTTATTTTTTGATGGCGGATCCCTAAGATTGCCATCGCCTCCTGGCGTGTCAATCTTAGGGATAGGGATAAGTTCGAGGCTGGTAACAGATGCCTGGATCTCGCCGGGATGTCCCTGGATTTCCGTGAAGGCCTGCCGTCACGATGGCTGGATCCCGCCCGGATTTCCCAGGGGGCGCCGGCGCGAATCGTGGCGTGAACGGGGGGGGGGGGGGGATGGCTGGTCACGGGCGTTCTCGCGAGTGCTTTTCTTTTCAAAAGGCTCCAGGGAGCCCGTAGACGCCCCAAGAGACCCTCATTGGGAGACCTCAGGAGCCTAACACAGCCCCAAGTTGGCCACAGGGCCCTGGGGGCAAGGCGCTCAAACCACAGTAAGACATGGAACGCATACGGTGTACAGGTCCGAGGGTCCATCGTTGGATTTATATATATATATATATACACAAATGTGTGTATATATATACACGTGCATATATATATATATATATATATATGTATGTGTTAGCCCTGATTCTTTATTACAACCCGAGGGGTTCGACGAGCAAGGGGGAGGAGCAAGTAGAGCGCGGACAGTGGAGCGATGAAGGAAGAAGGATGGTTGGGCGAGGAGGGCGAGGGGAGGCAGAAATAATCTGCAGGAAGAGGCGACGACGCAGGAGGAAGCAGCGAGGGATGTGGGTGGACCAGGTAGACAGGAGAAGTCTGCTGGATGTGTCTTCCTTCCTGCCCCTTGTTTGTCCTTCCTCTTTCCTCATACCCGGCCATCTGGCGCTCTCCGCGCGATGTCGATTCCAAGCTGTTGTGCGTGACCTCCTCTTATTCGGCCGCCTGGCTTTCACAGTTTTCTATGATCTCGTGTCGGGACTACATGGAGGATCTCCCGTTCGCTCCTACCCTGCTCTCCCGTTCTCCTTCCTGTTGCTTGATCCTCCCGCCTCATTCCTCTCCGATTGCCGCCACGTGCGCGACACCTCTTCCCGGCCGTTCTGTTACAAACGTCGCTCTTATTTTCGGATGTCCAGCGTTCGTAGTGGACCATTGACTCATGCCGAGGCTCTGCGTGGGGAGTCTCCTGTCGGCTCTGTTGCTCCTCTCCTCATCTCGGGTCCTCCTCTGTGTCGATTGCTGTTCCCGCCTCGTTCCTGGACGGCGAACGGCGCTGTGTGCGCGCCGTCTTCTGCCTGCAGTTATGTTACTCACGTCGCCACTGCTTCGGATTCTCGGTTTTCGTACTGAGCCCTGTCTCATGTCGAGTGTCTGCGTGGGAGATATTCCGTCGCAGTGTGATAGTTTTGCCGTGCTCGGTGTGTATGTAGTTGTCTTGGTGCGTGCTTTACCTGGGATGCGTAAATGGGCGACATGCTCCGTGGTGGAAGTATGAAGGAGTACGCGAGGAGGGAGGAAGCAGGGGGGTGGTATACGAGGAAGAGTACGAAGCGAGGAATTCGGAGCGTGAATGGAGGTGCGAGGAAAGGGAAAGGATGGAGGATGACTTGGCAGAGAGGAGCGAAGGGGAGCGATGTCGCCACGTCAGCCTTTGAACTGAAACATCTCGTACCTGTATTATAATCGCGGCCGTTCTCTTGACGGCAGCTGCCCGACCGTATGTAAGAGCAAGTTGACGGTGATTATAGGAGAGGCGTCGCGGGAGCTGGCTGGGCCATCTCGGATCCATCAGGATCCCATTAGGTTGTTGTTGTACGCATTTCTGGATTTGATGGGACCGAGTTCAGCAAGTACGCACAGGCGGTTGCTGCGCGAGAGTGCTCGCTCGTGTGAAAGTTTTGTGTTCAAAGCTCTTCAACGCCTTGCACAGCGCGAGACATGCAGGTCGACACCTCGCGAGTGCCCTTTTGCGGGCCGGGCTGTGACAGCGGACCGTGGAAGTTATGCTCACAGTCTGGCTTCCCACCTGCATGGGAGATGCGCGGCAATCAGGATCCTGCCCTTCGGAACAGATCACGAGACGAGGAGACAGCCCACGGCAGCCGAAGCGCACGCGAGGCGCGACGCAGCTTTCAGACCGCCCGGGGCACGTTGGAGACTGCCCCAGCCTGCGCATCGAGGTTCGGCCTCCTTATCATGGTAAGTGAGGTTTTGTTCCCCGAGTTCGCATGCTGTGAACGGAGTTGGGGCAGTGCGCCAGGCAGTCCCGGCAAGAGCAGCAGCTGTAAGATCTGGTGCGCCTGACCAGCGTCCTCATGCCAACTGCCCACAGAAGGAGAGAGCGAGAGAGAGAGAGAGAGCGACATAGAGATACGTAGACAGAGAGAGAGAGATAGAGAGCGAGAGCCACACACATATATATATATAGAGAGAGAGAGAGAGAGACAGTGAGAGAGAGAGAGAGAGAGAGCGAGAATGAGAAAGGGACGGCCAGAGCGAACGGCGTGCATGGGTCAGACGGGACGCAAGCAGAGGCAGAGCGCGAGACGGGCGGATTCGGGCAGACCAGAATTGTACCGTTGTGCTGGGAGGAGAGAAGACCACAAGCTGCTGAGCAAGCGGCGAGGTGCGGTGTGGAGTGGGGACAGCGCATGCTGGCGAAAGTTGAAGAGCCAGGAGCAGGACGAGGTGGGGGAGGGTAAGGGCGATGACAGTGATGCTTGAACAAGCTCATCGGGAGATCCAGAGGAAAGCGGGTGACGATGGGTGGTAATGAAGAGCAGGCGGGATATGAGATGAGGAGGAGGGGGAGGAGGAGGAGGCCCGATTATGGCGAGCTGCCGAGCAACTGTGCACGTGCAACGCTGGATCCTGGGATGACGTCGTTTCTTCTACACGTACTTGTGAAAACGAAGAAACTGAACACACGTGCGCTTCAAGCTGCGGTCTCGCTTACGTGCACCTCGCTTGTGTCACGGAAGGTGCAGGGTGCGAGGACCATAGGGAGGGACAGCTGGAACATGTTATGTCATGCGGAGTTCTCAGAGAAGGGGGAACGGTGGCGGCGACCCGACGTGGATACGTAACTTCTGCGAGCGGCTCTGTGGAACGTTCTCTGTTTTTTTGCTGGGTGCATCCGTGGGGGTTCGAGCAGATTGGGAAGGACTGCCGCGCCGCATCGCCGATGCGTCCGCGACACCGTGAGATCTGGAGCCCGCTCTTCTCCGCCCTGCTACCGCCGATGCGTTCACGATGCGGCGCGATCCTACCACCATTTTCTCTGGCCCCATTTGGGAGGCTTCCGCTGTAGGAGGAAAGAGCAGGAGGAGGGATGCTGAGGGGGTGATGGGGGGGAGAGACCGGAGAGCAAGAGGAGGAGTAGGAGGGGGGAACAGTATGAAGCCAAGATTCGGCAACGATGTTGGAGTAAACCCTCCCTCCAAGCTCACCTGTCATAACCCCCCACAAGGATTTATTTCCACTGGGGGAAGTGCCCCGTTGGGAGAAAACCGTTTGAAGATCCCGAAGCGTACCAAAACACCATTCAGGGGACTCCAACGCAGCAAATCAACCTGACTGTTGCGTCTTGACGGTCCTGATTTCTGTCAGACCACCAAGACCACCATCCTTGGGACGCCAACGCCGCGAATCAACGTAATTGTTGCGCCTTGAGTCTCCTGAGTCATCCCAAAACGCCGAATCTGGTACGATAGCCATGCGAATCCGTGAAGCCCTTGTAGTTTGTTCTAACGAATGTGCGCGGCGCTGACGCGAGAACCACATTTCGAAAAAGAACCGCCCTGAATCCGTGAAGCTCGTGCATATGTTCAAGACGAGTGTGCGCGGCGCTAAGGCGAGATCCGAATTTTGAAAACGGCACGGTCTCAATCAGCGAAGCCGTTGCAAATGTTGAAATCGAGTATGCGCGGCGCTATGGCGAGAGCCATATTTTGAAAATCTACCTCCCTCAATCCGTGGAGCTTCTTGCAACTATTCGACGAAGTTACGCGGCGCTAAATCCAGATCCAGATATTGAAAGAAACCCGCCGGGTCATCAGTGGTGGGGATCTATCAGGCGAAACGCTTGGCTCGCCTTTTTTACCAGCCTCGGTGTGCGACAGGGAGGAGTTAGTTCTAAAGAAGTTGAAGAGGAGGGGTGAAGAGGAAGAGGCGGGGAGGAGGAGGAGGAGGGGGTTCTAGGTGTGTGTGTGTGTGGATTGTATGGCCAGCGCCAGGAGGGGAATCAAGGTCGTATGGCCTTATATATTTTTCGGTGCACCCCCCTGCTGCCCCCGCCCCTCGTCCGCGCACATACCTCGGGCTAGGATCTGCCAACCCCTCTTCGGCGCATCCGAGCTGACCTCTGTGAAGTTATCCTCCTTCCCCTCCTCCTCTTCCGATCGACTACGCTGGCTTGCCATCAGTGTCACCGTGGCTCATGCCATCTCCATGTGACGTCGTGCCTGCTTTGCCTCGAGGTGGACTTGTTTTACGTCGCGGGTAGATTTTGTAATTTTGTTGTTGCCTTGTGGTCCGCAAGCGGCGGCCAGACGCCCACACACATATGTATATATATATATATATATATATATATAAATCTATGCGTATTGGAAACATTGCGTACGTGTTTTCTTCGTGACGCTGGTGGTCTGGGTCAGCAGCGCCATCGCCGTCGCCCACAGCAGTTCTGGCTCAAGGCCTTCGTCGTCAAGGCCGCTCAAGCATTGCTGTGTTTTGCCGGTGCGCCGCAGCCAGCGCTGCGGCCGAGCAAATCTTCCTGATGGGCGCAAAGCTGTACTTCTACTATTCGGTCTCCTCCTCTTGCTGCTTCTCCTCTTCTCTGCCACCGAACTGTCCGATAGCCACTGGATCCTGAGAGGCTCCAGCTTGCCCTGCTTCCCAAAAAATGAAAAGTTGACGTTTTCCCCTTCAGCGTGCACATATCGCCGTCGACGATGCCAACAGTGTGGCAGGATTGGGATCGTGGACGGGGGGCACGACGCCCGCGAGACTGGTGAAATGCCGCTCTCGCCTCGGCGCCGCCTTCATGTTTGCTGAGAGTTGAGCTCCCGCCTGGGCGCGGCGCACATCTCTCGCTCGCCGATGTGTCGGCAACGCGCGAGCGGGCGATATGTAGGCTTCGCCCAAGCGACGCGCAGATTTCGCGTGAAAGTGGCGTTCCAGCTCTGGCGCGGCGCATGCGTGTTGCTCGCCGGGTCGCCGGGGAGCAGCAACAGGGCCTCGCTAGCGTTCGTTGTCTGGCCCAGGCATTGCGCATCTCTGTCGCGTGAAAATGGCCATGTTCTTTCGGCGCGGCGTCTGCCTTGTCTTCGCCGCTCGCATCGGACATTTGGCCGCTCCAGAGAGGACTGCACGGCGCTGTCGCTGCATCGCCGCGCCGTGTTTTTGTGGAAATTCTGCTCGCTCCTGTACGCGGCCCGTGCTTCCCCCCCCTCGCCAAGCCGTCGGAAGCGGGACCGCGCTCGAGCGCCTTCTGTGCGCTAGGCGGGACAACGCGCGACAACCAGCATCAAGTTGCGGCAGCATTTTCCAAAACCAGCGCTTGAACCTAGGAGTTCTTACTTGTGTTGCTCGGCCCGGCGAAGCTTCGCCATCGACTCGTTGCCGCCTCGTGCGATGGGTGTGTCCGCGAGGTTTCGCCACATTGCCGCCCGTTGCCGCCTCGTTGCCGCCTCGTGCGATGGGGGAGTTCTGCGAGGTTTCGCCACGTTGCCGCACGTTGCCGCCTCGTTGCCGCCTCTAGCTTGCACCACATAGATTGCGTCAGATAGCTTTGCACCACATTGCTTGCTCATTCACAGTGCAATCGCTTGCTCTTTGGAGTCCACGCTTTCTACATTATCTTTTGTTCCACTCCGAATCCTGCTCACAGTGCCATCCGTACTCCTACTGCGTTCGCCCTCCCAGCCCCCCCCCGCGGTCTGTCTGATACCGCCCCCCAGCGGGCCTTCCATCCCACCCGTCACCAGGCGATGCAAGAGTCGACGGTTCCCTCTCGAAGTGGACGTTTTGTCGCCGACGTTGCCAGGCTTGTGGCAGGACTATGCCTCGGCGCACATCTCGTGCCAACGGGGCGAAACGCTGCTCTCGCCCACGCGCCGTGCTCACTTCGCGGGAAGACAACGACATTCACGTACACTTCCGGAAGTCCGCCCAGATTTCTTAGGTCGGTCTTGGGCTCCCTTGGCGGTGCCTCCGCCCTTACCCCTGGCACGCTCCGTGCGTCAGGAGTGTGGGTCCAGGAAGATCCAAGCAATTCTGGGGGGTTTCTGAACGTCTGTGTTCATGTTGCCTTTTCTATGTCGATGATGGCTACGGCGAATCACAGCCGTCCCCCATGCCTTTCTGATGCGCCGATGTGGCCAAACGTCTGGGCAAAGTTTAGCCACGCTATTGGGCCATGCGTTCCACCAGACGTTCGCGCGAGAAGGAGGAGGAGGAGGAGGAGGAGGAGGAGGAGGAGGAGGAGGAGGAGGAGGAGGGGGAGAAGGAGGAGGAGGAGGAGGAGGAGGAGGAGGAGGAGGAGGAGGAGGAAGCCCTTCGGGGAACAATTGTGGGAGCGAGAGGGGATGTGGAGAAGGGTGGGGAGATCTCTCGGGAGCTTCCTGGGTACATCTTGGGGCTTCCCGTGGGCTTCCTGGGGCCTCTTGGAGGCCTTGTTGGGCCTCTTGAGGTTATTTTGGTGATTCTTGGGGGCCTCTTTGGCCGTCTTTACGGCGTTCCTGGCCCGTCGGACGCCATTGGAAGCCGTCTTGGGAGCCTCTTCGGGCCGTTGGCGCTTCAGAGCCGATTGGGCGACCATCCTGAGCGTCTTGGAGGCCTCTTGGGCCGTCTTAGGGCCAGTTTGGGCCGTCTTGGGGGGCCTCTTTGGGCCGTCTTGGGGGCCTCTAAGGCCGTCGTGGGGTCGTCTTGGAGGCCTCTTGGGCCGTCTTGGGGCGAATGTTGGGGCCTCCTGGGCCGTCTTTTGCCGTCGGAATGCCGAAAAGCAAGCAATTGCCAAACTTGCCCGGAACAGCCATGGCACATCAATCATTTTTGTAGATTCGGGCCTTCCTGCAGAATCTCTTAGAGGCCTGTTGGGCCGTCTTCTGGGGCCTCTTGGGCGCTTCTTGGGCCGGCTTGGGCTCTCTTGGACCATCTTGGCAGTCTTGGAGGCATCTTGGGACGGTCTTGGTGATCATCTTGGGGCTTCCTTAGGGCTATCATGATCGTCTGGGCGGGGCGTCTTGCCCGTCTGGGAGGCCATCTTGAAGCCATCGTAAGCGAACGCATCGACGGGAGGTGCGTTTCCTGGGTGGCCGGCGGGCTGGGCCGAAGCCCCACAGGGAGATCTTCAGAAAAGCACCAAACATTTGAAAGACATTTGGCACGCCGTGCACCCTTGTGGCAAAGCCGCAGGGGGCGGCGGATCTAGTGGCCGTCGGCCAAGTCCGCCATGCTTCGGTTGTGGGTCAGAGCTATCATGGATATTTTTTTTGATCTCTTCGGAGAGCTTCTGGATGGCCTCTGGGGGACAGTTTTGACGCCTCTTGGGGGCCTCGTCGGGGCCTCTTGGGGACCTCCTGGGGGCCTCTTGGGGGCCTCGCGGGGTCCAATGTTGCTTCTCGAATGTCGAGCTGCCGCTCGGGTGCGTCGTGCAGTTTCGTGTTCCTAACCGTTGGACTCAGGGCGAAGCGCCGTTCTTCGCTCATGAGAATTGCGTTCCCGCTCGGGCGCGGCGCAGGCTGACCAGTCTGCTACGCGATTGGAAGTTTGGCGTTGTGCGGCAAGGGGCGGAGTGATGCTGTCGTCTCAAACTGCACGCCCCTCCCAGCGTGGCCCTCCTGCTCCTGCGCTGCGCACGGCTTCTCTCTTCGCGAAGAGCGTGGCCGCGCGGGCGAGTGCTCTCCGCTCGCAGGTCGGAGGGCGCTCCCGTCTCAAGCTCTACTTGTACCATCATTGTTTGGTTTGCGCCGGAGGGGAGGGGACCGGGCTGGGTCCCTTGAATCACTCGAGCTGGCCAGCTTCGAGATGCATTTACATTGCCCCCCTTCCTCCTACTCAACATGCTTCTCTTTTTCGGTCTCGCCAGTATGCGGGGCGCATGTCTGCGCATCTTGCTCACGCCTGTGTCTTCTATGTTGATCCCTCTTGCTGGTAATGTACGATATGTTCAGTTCGCGTCAAGTCGTGTTGTCGCAGAAGTTACCCGGGCACGGCTCAATGCTGAACGCCGTCGGTAGCCACGGATCGGCCGACATCGAACGACCTTCGAAATCCGTAAGCCGCGATCGCCCTCGACGTTGAGCGGTTCACGCGATGTCGGAAACCAGCGCTTCGATCGTGACGGCACGACCCTGCCGTATTCATCCCTCCTCCTCCTCCTCCTCCTCCTCCTCCTCCTCCTCCTTCTGGCCCCTCGTGGAAAAGAAAGAACAGGATACACGCAATCTGCAGGAGGTCCGCGCGGGCTTCCCGGGTCAGCGCTGGGCCCCCCCGCCCCTGGCGCGCGGAATGCTCCAAGGCGGGGCCCCTCTCCGCTCCCAGAGGTACGCCGTGGCCTTCGACAGCTTGTGTCTGTACAGTGTTGCCTTCTTCGGTCCTCCTCCTCCTCCTCCTTCTCCTTCTCCTCCTCCTCCTCCTCCTCCTCCTCCTCCCCCTCCTCCTCTTTCTCCTCCTCCTCCTCTCGGTCCTCCTCCTCCTCCTCCTCCTCCTCCTCCTCCTCCTGGCTCCTGGTTCCCGGTGGCGTTCGTCGATCGCCGCCCCCCCCCTGGGCTGGTCGGGCCTGGGGGTTTGATCAAACTAAGTACCTCCTTCTCCTCCTCCTCCTCCTCCTCCTCCTCCTCCTCCGCCTCCTCCCCCTGCGGTGGCTCTACCCCCACCAGTCCCCCCTTCCCCTCACTCTCGGCCATGAACGCCGGGAAGAGCGCGACGCTGCTCCAGTCGAACCACAACTACCACGAGCGTGGCATGCACACTATGCTCTTCATCCCGGAGCTGATCGGGAGCGCCCTGGCCCGCGCATACATCCCAGCATGTTTAACAGAATTGCTTCCGCGGTTTTCCGCCGGTTTCGGCCCCTGGGGACCTTCACAGGGCCCCGGGACCGTCAGTGAACCGATCCTTGGGAAAAGCTCCAGACCTCTCGGGGCAAACGTTCTGAGACAATCACGACTTCGGAGGTCTGGGTCCCCTGCCGTCATTCCCCGCCCCACCCTGCCATTCCCGCCCAGATGAGAGTGGCGGGGCTGGGGCGAGGGATCAGCCCATGCCAAGAGGGTCACCACTGGGTAGGGGGTGTCGCCGGGTCGCCAGCTTTTCCTGATCAAGGGCCGAGGGGATTTGCTGGACGATTCCCAAAGCGTTTGGGAGTGTTCTGGGGGCCTCACGGATCGTCCTCCTCGAAGAGGTGGCGCCTTCCCTAGTGGCGCCCTCCCTTGGCATTGGTTGATTTATGTGGTAGGCCCTCGCCGCCGCGATGCGGCGGCGGCCCAGAACGCCGCCGGTGGCCAAGAATCGCCGTGTTGGGAGGTGCTCGCTGTCTCTTCGATCCCCCCTGTGCACCCAGGCGCCGTCGGGGCCAAAAAGGCGTTGCCTTACTTCTTCAGCGATCCTTGCGATTGTAGCTTGACTGTATGGGAGGAGGAGGAGGAGGAGGAGGAGGCGGAGGAGGAGGAGGAGGATAAGGAGGCGGAGCAGGAGGATGAGGAGGAGGAGGAGGAGGAGGAGGAGGAGGAGGCCCGAAGTGCGGTCCCCCCGCCGGCGGACCGCCGCGTGGCGGGCGGGCCCCAGCCAGCGGGCCGACAGCGGCTGGGCGGGCGCATCAGCCATTACGTACATCTCTGGTCTCGCCGAATGCGGCCACGTTTCGCGGCTCCACATCGAGGATCCAGGAGCCCACATCGCTTGCCAAAAGAGGATATTTGAGAGTTGAATGAGTTGCTGTTCGACAAGCCTTGGTGGCCGCGTCCGACCTGTGTTTCCAAATGGGGTTGCAACCACAGCAGCTTCTAACCCATGGGCCCATGGGGCATCTCCGGAACTTCAGATGACTCTGCTCCGAGAGTTTGCGGTAGCAGTGCGCCGAATCGAACATGACGTGCACACGATACGACAATCATCAGGCTTCAAATTTCTTCCCGGGTATCCTGCAGTGTTGGACTGAAGCCATCGCAGCGCCAGACGTCATCAGTTACGATACGAGCTGCGAGCAAAGCCGATGGCAGCAGACAGCAGGCGCACAGACAGCGCAGCACCCCCTGACTTTCTCAACCTGTCAAGCGGGGCTGCGGGGCGTAGTTGCCTATCAAGGGGTGGCTCGATGGGTGGCGCATCAAGAAGGGAACGAGAGGTGGTGCATCAAGAAGGAAGTGAGCCCCAAGGTTGCGCTCACAGACACGATGCCGATACCACCAGCTACGAGAGTTGCACATTGAAGCACGAGCCCCACGCCATGCGCTACGAAGGTGGTGTCCAGAAGCACGAAGCCGACTGCGACAGGTACGAGGGAGGTGCGCCGAAGCACGACGCCAACGTCGTCAGCTATCGGAGAGAGGTCACACGAAGCACGAAGCACGAGCCCGACTCCATCAGCTACGAGGGTGGTACAACGAAACGCGAGTCCGGTGCCATCGGTTATGTCCGGTGGGCCGCGAAGCACGAACCCGACGTCATCAGCTACAGCGTTCGGTCTAGAACCCTCGTGCGAGAAGGGCCGGCAGCGGTGCGAGCAGGGCTGGCAGCGATGCGTTAAGGGCCAGCAGTGGTGCAAGATGAACCGACACTTGTGCGAGGAGGGCAGGAGTGGTGCGGGAAGGGCTGGCAGCGGCGCGAGAAAGGCCGGCAGTGGGGCTAGAAGGGCAGGCAAGAGTGCGAGATGAGCTGGCACGTGTTGCACAGCTGCAACGGTTGGATACTGGATGTCATCAGCTGCAGGCTGGCGCGCGGAACGCCGTGTCCGAATCGTGTTTGGAGTCCTGGCGGGCTTGAACTCCGCCCGCTATGTATGTGGATTCGGTCGTCTAGGTTACGCAGGCATCACGAGGAGCAGAAGAGAAGAGGGTAAGCCCCCGACGCCATCACCCAGATACGTGGACCAGCGCGTGCTAGAAAGGGCGGCAGTGGCTGTGCGGGAAGCGAGTGCAGCGGCAGCTCTGGCAGGCAGTGACAGCATCTGGAGACAGGCAATGACGTCTACAAGCCGCAAGCCCGACGCCAACAGTTACGAGGGTGCCGACACGATGTACGAACCCGACGTTATCAGTTACGACGGTGGTGACGCGCAACACGAGCCTGCCGCCGTCAGCTACGAGGGTGACGCTGGGAAGCACGAGCCCAATACTATCAGTTACGAGAGTGGCGCAACGAAGCGCGAGCCCCGCGCCATCAGCTTCGAGGCTTGCGTCGCGAAGCACGAGCCCGACGTCGTCACCTACGAGGGAAGTGACGCGACTCGCAAGCCCAAGGTCGTCAGTTACGTGTCGCGAAGCACGAGCTGGAGACACCATCAGTAACGAAGGTGCTTTCGCCAACCGCGAGTGCCCTGAGTCATCAGCTGCGCGGCCGTAGCCTGTGCCGTCCTCGGCGTGCACGTTGCAATGCTGCGCGGCGCCCGCCTGTCTCATGCTGTCTTCGAAGATGCGCCAAACCACGTCGCAATCGAGGTTCCCTGCGTAGACGGGCAGGTCCTCCCCTGTAGCTGAAGAAAGGTTTGAACTATATTGTTCGTCCTCTGTTTCATACGGTGTTATTTCGTCGCCCCTTTCCTCCAACTCATTGCGTTTCTCCTCAGGTTCCTCGTCGCTATCCTCGACCTCGCCGTGACCCTCGTGCAGCCCAGCCTCTGTCGTCTTCTTTTCAGGGCGCCACTGCTGCCACCGCCGTTCATTCTGTCGCAGCCGAGCTGCCACTTCTGCCCCCTTTCGTACAGTGCACCCGCTGCCACTGCCCCTGAACTGCCACTGTCGCCCCCGCTTTGGTAGCTGATGGCGGCAGGCTCTTGCTTTGCGGCTCTGCAGCCGTCCTCTACGATATACCTCGGGACTCGGCACTGGGCCAATTCCCAATGCGCCTGCCTGTCCCCGTAGTGTTCCATCTCCGCGTCGATCTGCTCGAGGATAGGGTCGTGCATGGCCTGCGTCAGGCCAGTCGGGCACGGACGTGCCTATTTCCTCCGACGGGGAGGTCAGGAAGGCCACGGCCACCCGCGACGAAACGGAGATCGTGGGCCGTACGATCCGGATCAGGTGGTAGGGAAGGTAGTACAAGGTGATGCCGCGCGAGACCTCGCTGGCACGCGGATGCACATTATCAGCTACACCCAAGACCACCTCGTGCGAGAAGAGTGTCAGACCGGCGGCGGCCGCGAGGTGGGGCCCTGAGCCCCGGCGATGCGGCGGCCGTTGTGGGGATGCTTCGTAGCAGCGAGATGAACAAGGTGAAGAGGAGAAGGAACAGGACTACCAGGAGGAGGAGGAGGAGGTGGACGACGAAGACGACGTCGTCGCAATGGGCGATGGTCGTGATGGTGGTGGTGGTCGCGGTGGTGGCCGCGGTGGTTGCCGCGGTGGTGGCCGTGGTGGCGGTCGTGGAAATAGTGACGACGAGGGTGGTTGTGATGACGGTTATGATGTTGAGGGTGATGATGGTGAGGAGGAGGTCGACGGTGATGTTGATGACGATGATGATGATGATGATGATGATGATGATGATGATGATGATGATGATGATGCTGATGCTGATGCTGATGCTGATGCTGCTGATGATGATGATGATGGCGACGATGATGATGTCGAAGATGGTGATGATGCTGGTGATGATGATGATGATGATGATGATGATGTTGCGGGATTGCATGGTGATGATCGGTGATGATGATTGCGATGATGAGCAAGGATGGAGGAAGAGGAGAAGGAGGAAGACGAGGAGGAGGAGGAGGAGGCGGCGGCATTGCAAGTGCTGTCTGGAGGTCTTGGCATTTTGCTGGCCCCATCTTTAGGATCGGATTGGGTCGGACGAACGGGGATGATTGGGAACAGATGGGGAAGCGAACTCTGTTGCTATCACCCTGTTTCACCCCCGCCGCCTGGCGCTTTCCTTGATACAGGTTCGCCATCCCCTCACCCCCCGATTTAACCGACCTGGTACCGGATAAAAGCGAACTTCGTAAATACTGGCTTTCAGGGGTCGGTGTGGATTTGTCGGATCGACGCTGGACCCCCCTGGCCGCGCGCCTCCAATGCCGCCCCCCGCCTCAGTCCCCGCGCCCGCGACAAGGAGGGTGATCTGGCACTTATCCGAGAAATCCGCGCCGAGCTCCGAAAGCTTCTGTGTACGCAGCTGGCTGCTTTTTTGCTGCCGCGGCCAGCAGGTCCTGCATTTCTGGTGATGCCGTCTTTGTGGTGGCGCCGCCGAGGCCACACACACACATGTTTGTGCAGCTTCCTGTGCCTCTATGACGCCCCCCTCTGCGGCCGACCTGGCAGGAGCGGCCACATCCAGTCTCGCATCGGGCTCTCGGCCCCCGCCTTTGCCTTCCCTCCCGGCTTCGACTTCTACGCCCACGTGGCCGAGCATCAGGCGGTCGCCGGGGCAGAGGGCGGGTGGTGGGGCGGAGGCAGGGTGGTGGATGAGATCGGAGGGCGTCCTTTGCACACCTGCACCTATCATTAAGTCGGGCCTGTCCATCCACAGGGTGAATATCTAAAAATAGTCAAACAATAGTCTTGGGACGATTTGTTGAATATTTCCCAGCCATCCTGTGGTATTGGGTTCTCGTTTTGAAGAGACGGTGCCCCGCGTTCCTCTCCTCCTCCTCTCCTCCAACCCTCTCTGTGTTTCACTCACCCATTAAGTGACAACGCCCTCCCTCCCTCCCTCCCTCCCTCCCTCCCTCCCTCCCTCCCTTCCGCCTCCTCCTCCCTAGTGGCGCAGCTCGCTTGGCGCCGCCGCCCCATTTTGGCAAACCCCTCTTACGTTTCGTGGCCCTATACGGAGCTCCACCTAAGGTCCCAGTGGCACAGCTCGCATGGCGCCGCAGCCACTTTTTGGCACAGCCCTCACACGTTTCGTGGCCCCCCAGGGAGCTCCATCCAAGGTTTCAGTGGCGCAGCTCGGATGGCGCCGCCGCCCCCTCCCACGTTTCGTGGCCCCATGGGGAAATCTATCTAAAGTCCCAGTGGCGCAGCTCGCATGGCGCAGCCGCCCCATGGCGGCACACCCCTCACACGTTCCGTGGCCCCATGGGGAGTTCCACCTAAGGTCCCAGTGGCGCAGCTCGCATGGCGCCGCCGCCCCACTTTGGCACCCCCCCCCCCCCACACGTTTCGTGGCCGCATGGGGGGCCCCACCTAAGGCCCCAGTGGCACAGCTTGCATGGCGCCGCCGCCCCATTGTGGCACACCCTTCACACGTTTCGTGGCCCCACAGGGAGCTCCATCTAAGGTCCCAGTGGCGCAGCTCGCACGGCGCTTCCGCCCCATCTTTGGCACACCCCTCACACGCTTCGTGGCACCATAGGGAACTCCATCTAAGATCCCAGTGGCGCAGTTTGCATGGCGCCGCCGCCCCATCTTTGGCACACCCGTCTCACGTTTCGTGGCCCTATAGGGAGCTAGAACTAAGGTTCCAGCGGCTCAGCTCGCATGGCGCCGCCGTCCCATTTTGGCACACCCCTCACACGTTTCGTGGCCCCACAGGGGGCTCCACTTAAGGGCCCAGTGGCGCAGCTCGCACGGCGCCGCCGCCCCATTGTGGCACACCTCTCACACGTTTCGTGGCCCCACAAGGGGGCTCCACTTAACGTCCCAGCGGCGCAGCTCGCATGTCGCCGCGGTCCCAGGTTCGGCACACCTGTCACACGTTTCATGGCCCCACCATAGGGAGCTCCACCTAAAGCCCCAGTGGCGCAGCTCGTATGGCGCCGCCGCCGCATGTTTGGCACACCTCTCCCGCGCTTCGTGGCCCCATAAGGAGCTCCACCTAAAGCCCCAGTGGCGCAGCTCGCATGGCGCAGCCGCCCCATGGCGGCACACTCCTCACACGTTCCGTGGCCCCACAGGGGGCTCTACTTAAGGTCCCAGTGGCGCAGCTCGCATGGCGCCGCCGCCCCATTGTGGCACACCCCTCCCGCGCTTCGTGGCTCCATAGGGAGCCCCACCTAAAGTTCCAGTGGCTCAGCTTGCATGGCGTCGACGCCCGATTGTGGCACACCCTTCGCACGATTCGTGGCTCCACAGGGAGCTCTACCTAAGGTCTCACTGGCGCAGCTCGCATGGCGCCGCCGCCCGCCGCCACATATTGGCACACCCCTCGCACGGTTCGTGACCCCAGAGCGAGCTCCTCCTAAGGTCCAGTGGCGCAGTTTGCATCGAGTTGTTCCTGGCAGGGCCGCTGGAGGGATTGCGGAAGCAACTGGAGCAGTTTGCCACGCGCACGAAATGGTGCAGGAGGAAGGTGGCGGCCCTCGCCATGGAGCTGAGCGTCACCGAGTTTATCCGCGAGGCTTGACCTGAGGAGCGGCCTTCCGAGCCTCGCCGCCTCTCAACGGTCTGACTGTTTGGCCTCGCGCCGCGGGCGACCCGCGCGCGTCGCTGGGACCTTCTAGGGGCGACCAGGGCGCGTCGCGGGAATTCCGCGCTGCGCTCTGCCCAGAGCTTCGCTCGCCCCCGTCGTCGCTCTGCTCAGCGGCCACAGGCTTGCCCGCTATCAGCCAGCCAGTTAGCTCTCTCTGCCCTGCCCAGCGGACGACCCGCGCGCGTCGCCGGGACCCCTCTGCGGCGACCAACGCGCGTCGCGGGGACTCCGTGCGGCGGCGCGCCCGCAGCTTTGGACATGGGCGTGCGCGGGCAAAGGGGGGGGGAAATACCGGGAAGGAAACGGGCGCGACCCTTGTGAGGAGCGTGCCGACACGGGCGTCGCGGCGTGTGGGCGCTGCTGTCGGGATTCCAGGGGAAGCTTCCTGCGGCAGCCACGCTCAGTGTCGCGAGTAATCAGGGTCAGGCATACGTGAACCATTTAAAATCAGTTATGTATATATACATATATAAACACATATACACACCAGGCGTGGCCGTGCTTGCACTCATGCAACTATAGTCACTCGCGCGAAGAATCATTCACACTCAGACTCACTCGCGCTCAGACTCACCCGCGCTCAGTGTTTCGTAATTCGACGTATCGTCTTCGTTCGTGTTGTGTACCACGCCGCGCAATCCGGCGCACCCTCACACGATTCGTGGCCCCATAGGGAGCGCCACTGAAAAAGGTATTCACAATTGCGCTACTCACAACTGCATATGGTTGGGTCTTTCGCCAGGGTAACGGTTTACAATTTGGGGACAATGTTTATTGATTTGTTGTTTTTCGCCCGAAATCCCCCTGTAAGGGGACAGGCCCGACCGAAACCTAGCATTGCCAGGCCAGTCCTGCGTCGGCAGACCGCGAGGGAGCAGGCACCGATCAGGGGCCTGGCATGTGCCTGGATTGGAGGGGTGCAGGTGTGCACGCTGTTCGTTTCTACTTCTTCGAGAGCTCTTTGAGCGGATCTCAGAGCGGACGGTTGGAGCGGACGGTTGGCCAGCGGAGTTTCGGTCGACGGAGGGGATGGGGAGGAGGTCGCACGGGGCTGGGACTAGGATCCATCCGTACCGGAGCGTTCGTTTCCAATTATTCGGAAGTTATTTGATTTTTTGGGGGCCCAGAATCTTTCCATTTCTAATCGTTCAATCCTGGGCCCCTTCCTGGGCACCAGGGGGCCAGGAACACTTAGAAACGAGCACAATTAGAGATGAGCACGGTAAAAAGTGCACGGCCCGCATAGCCAGCGCCCCCCAATGAGAGATGAGGTTAGAAGGTGGACGAGAGGGAGGATAGGGGCGGAGGGGGAAAACGCTGGACTCAGAAGGCCGCGAAGTACCTCCACACGGGAACTTCCGCCAGGGGCGTGCAACACGTGGTGCCGCTCGTGGGGCCGAGGGGGAAGGAGGCGGAGGAGGGAGGAGCCGCTCTGCCGAGAAGGGTTGTTCTTGCTCAGGCCAGGGCGTTTCCTTTGGCCCGAGCCAGGTCCTGCGAAGCCCGCCGCTGGTAACAACACAGAGAGGATGACATTGAGGAGCAGGGGGAGGCAGAAGCGCAGGAGGTGAAGGAGGGGAAAGCGAATGATGATGATGATGATGATGATGATGGTGATGATGATGATGATGATGATGATGATGATGACGATGATGATGATGATGATGATGATGATGATGATGATGCTGATGCTGATGCTGATGATGATGATGATGATGCTGATGATGCTGATGCTGATGCTGATGATGATGATAATGATGATGATGATGATGATGATGCTGATGATGATGATGATGATGATGCTGATGATGATGATGCTGATGCTGATGATGATGACGAGGAGGAGGAGGAGGATGAGGAAGAGGATGATGATGATGATGATGATGAGGATGATGATGATGAGGAGGAGGAGGAGGAAGAAGACGGGGAGAGAGGGAGGGAGGGAGGGATAGAGGCAGATCGCGAGGCAGAGCAGAATGATGCGACAGTATCAAGAAGGACAGCGACACGGAGAGGGCACGTGAAAAGGCCGTTGTGGAGTTGTGGAGTGGTGTGCCTGCCCATGAGTCGCGGCGCCTCAATCACTATCGAACTCTTGCGAGTTGAGGACCCCTGACGCACGCAGGACGGGCTGTGCGAGAGTGGTGAGCCCCCACGTTGATTAGCCAAGCTCGCTGGCAGAGCGCCTCGGTCAAAAAAGAGGAGGGGAAGGGTGGGGCGAGTCGAACAAGGAGGGGGACGAGGACGTGGAATACGCTTAGGAGGACGTGGACGATGAAGAGGGGGAGGGTGGATAAAGGGGCTGCGTGCGAGACGGGGAGGACGAACATTAGCTGTGAGGGGATGGAGGAGGAGGAGGAGGAGGAGGCGATACGCAGCAGGGGAGGCGGAGGGGAAGGAGACAGTGGAGGCAGTTCATGAAGAGAAGGCAGATGATGAGGAGGAGAAGAATCGAGGGGGAGGAACAGGAACACGGAGATGAGCGAGGAGCAGGAGGACGAGAAGGCGGAAAGGAGGGAGGAGCTGGAGGAGCAGGAGGGGTAGGAGGAGGCGGAAGGGCGGAGGAGGAGGTGCAGGAGGACGAGGAGGAGCATGACGTGGAGGAGGCGGGAGGGACGAGCTGGGGCCACGCATCAGGCGGGGTCGGAGCCCGCGCGGGACAGCGCCGCGAGCCCTGGCCGGTGCGACTGCCTGCTGGTGGACGAGGCCCAGTTCCTGACGCAGGCGCAGGCGCTCCGCCCCCCCGAGCGCACGGGGGGAGCGAGCGCGCAGCGCTGCGGGGCGCAGCTAGAGGAGGGAGGAGGCAGGGGAAGGAGGAGGACGAGGCAGGAGGAGGAGGAGGAGGAGGAGGAGGCGGAGGAGGAGAAAGGCCATTTACACTTGCAGCAATCAGAGGAGTCGAGGAGGTGGATGGTGGAGGTGAAGGAGGAACTGCATCAGCAGGTGCGCCAGCTGAGCCGCGTGGCGGACGAGCTTGGCGTGCCCGTTCTGTGCTTCGGCCTGCGCACCGACTTCCGGGGGGAGCCCTTCGAGGGCAGCCGGTACCTCCTCGCGTGGGCTGACGTCCTCTCGGAGATCAAGACGGCGCTCGGGAGGGGCCGAAGAAGCGGCAGGCATGCCTTTGCGCGACGCGGCCGCGCACGCGCGCAGCGACACGGCCGAGTCAGGCTTGCGAGAGGCACAGAAGCGTGTTTGGCCCTCACGCAGCCACCGGGCGGGCTGGCGCAGGACCCGCCCCCCATGGGGGGCCGCACTGGGTGGGGCCCCGTGGGGGGCAGCATACACACACATCCACGGGTCCACGGCCTTGGATACGTTCCCCCCCGGTCTCCGGAGCAGGCCAGCGCACGCGGGGCCCAGGGGCGGGACGTATCAAGCCGAGGGCAGCCGGTGCCTCCTCCCCAAGGCGGACGTCCCGTCGTAGACCACGACGGCGTCCGTGGGGGCCGAGAGGTCGGTACGCTCGAAGTTGGGCGTTCCGCAAATAATCTCGCCTTTAGCACGTCTCGTCCTCGGCGGAAGCCGGCGGAAGTAAAAGAGAGGTGTCCAGTACGTCTTGGATACGGGTGTTCCGGAATCGGCCGAATTGGTGCGACAAGAATTGGAACGAGATCCAACAGCAGTCCTTTTATGTTGGACCATGTTCCATGTAGTTGTTGCTGCGGGCGTTCTTAGAGTCGAACAACGATTGCCAAACAGCGGCCGCGGTCGGTTTCAGACTGGGCATCATGTCCTCGTTTCTCGTGCCCTTTTCGGGTGCGCCGATAAGAGCAACATACATGCACTCACGGTCTTGGATAGGAAAGTGATACGTGATACCTCCTCTCTTGGCCCGCCTGGGCCAGGGGAGTCACGAGTCAAGTCTAGGTATTGTAGTAGGCGCGCCATTCAAGGAGCCAGCCTGCCAGGAGGTGACCCACGAAGGTTTCCAATCCCCGACGACATCGGGCACCCATTGGAGTTCATGACCTTCCGACGAAGTCAAACTCTGACCTAACTTTGTGCCCCAATATTGCGCACATCAAGATTCCTTAACGTATCCACCCGCTGTCATGGTCAAAGGTAAGGGGTATGTTTCAATTCATGGAAGGATGAATTCAGCGCTGACTCAGCATCGGCGCTGACATTTCCTTGGGTCCATTTCCTCGATCTGCTGCCAGTTCGGGTTTGAATCTGGCTGATCGTTCCCCTACTCGGGCTCAATAGTCCTATCAGATCGTTCCCGCAAAGACCTCTCAGGAGTTGCCTCCTGATAGGGGTCGACCAGTTGGGCCCAGGAGCGCCAGATAATTTGGAAGAGCAGCAGGCGCTCGGCGTTGGAAGGAGCGTGTGCAAGCAGCCGTGGCCTTTCTTCTCTTCCCCCGTCCCCCGCCCGGGAGGATGGAGATGTCGGACGGAGATGTGACGAAGGATGATGGCGGGATGGGGGAGGGGAGGGGGAGGGGAGAGTGTTGCCTGGATGTGTGGAGGGCGGGAAGGGTGGGGATGAGGAGAGGGAGCAATAGTGGGAGGAGGAGGAGGAGGAGGAGGAGGAGGAGGAGGAGGAGGAGGTGCAGGAGGAACAACAGGAGGAACAGCAGGATGAGAGAAGAGGGAGGAGGAGGAGGAGGAGGAAGAGGAGGGGGGAAGGGGAAAGGAGGGAGGAGGTATGCGGACGGACGGGGAGAGGGCTGCTGGGAGGTGTGGAGGGGGTAGGAGGGGGAGGGGGGGAAGGAACACGCACGGGGAGAGGCAGGAGGAATGCCTGCAGGAGGAGGGAGGGGGAAGGGGGATAGAGGAAGATGGGGGCAGGGGGGACGGGTCGGATGCGGTGCTGGCGGGACCTGCAGGAGTAGGAGGAGGAGAGGCGAAGACGATGACGACCATGACGACGCCGACGCCGCCGCCGCCGACGACGACGACAAATACGATGACGAAACCGACGACAACAACGACGATTCCCACGGAAAGGCAGGGGGCGGGCGGGCGCAGGGAGGGCCTCCGAGGTGTGCAGCTGCGGGCGCAAGGCCACCATGAACCAGCGCGTGGCCGACGACGGCGCCGCGCACGGGCGAGAAGAACCCTCCGCCACTGGCCGCCGCCCTCCGCCCGGCCAGCGGCGGTCGGGCTGAAGGTAGAGACCCGTCCCCCCCCACGCTGGACCCCTGCTCCTCCTGCTCCTGATGCTGCTCCCCCCCTGCGCCTCCCAATTCTCGATGTCCCACCCCGCCTGCCCCTCATCATCCCGGTCCTCGACCTCCCTCCGCCTCGAGGAGGACGAGGAGGAGGAGGAGGAGGAAGAGGAGGAGGAGGAGGACCAGTGTAAACCCAGGAGGCATCAACGACGTTGGAATTCACCCTCCGTCCCAGCTCCCTCGTCAGAGGCCCCTACAACGGTTCATTTCCATTGAGGTATTGCCTCGTTGGAAGACCACCGTTTGCAGATCCTGAAGCATGCCACAACATTGTTCTCGGGATTCCAGCGCCGCGTCTTGACGATCCTGAATCGTGCCAGAACGCCATTCCTGGGACTTGAACGCTACGAATCAACATAGCTTGTGCGCCCTCGTGAGCCTGAATCCTTCCAAAATGCCATTTCTGGTTCACTGATCAGGGGAAGCCGTGAAACTCGTGCAATTGATATAAAAAAGAATGCGCGCGGCGCTACGGCGGGAGCCACATTTTGACAACGATCCTCAATCCGTGAAATCCTCGCAATACTTTAAAATGAATGTGCGCGGCGCTAAGGCGGCCACGTTTGGAAACCGAGTCGCCTTCAATCCGCGTGGCCCTTGCAATTGTTTAACGGATGAACGCGGCGCCAAGGCGAAAGCCACATTTGGAAAACGATTCGCCTTCAATCCGCGAAACTCTTGCAATTTTGTCATACGAGTGTGCGCCGCGCTGGGGCGAGAGCCACATTTTGAAAACCACTCGCCCCCAATCCACAGAGAGCTCTTGCATTTGTTTAACGAATGCGCGCGGCGCTAAGGCGAGAACTGTATTTTGACAACGACTCGCCCTCAATCCGTGAAGCTCTCGTAGTCTTTTCAAACGACTGTGCGCGGCGCTCATGCGACAGCCACATCTGGAAACCGACTCGCCTTCAATCCGTGAAACTCTTGCAGTTGTTTAACGAATGTGCGCGGCGCCAAGGCGAGAGCCACATTGTGAAAACGACTCGCCCGCAATTCGCGAAAGCCCTGCCATTTTTGAAATACGATTGTGCGCGGCGGCACTTAAGGCGAGAGCCCCTTTTTCAAAACCATTCGCCCTTATTCCGCGAAGCTCTTGCATTCTTCTAGGACTAATGTGCGCGGCGCTGAGGCGAGAGAGGGATGGCGCAATTTTACCAAGGCCGGGCTGGGCGCCCGGACGCCCGGACGCCCGGGCGCCCGGACGCCCGGACGCCCGGGCGCCCGGCGGGCCAGGCCCAGGCGACAGAACCGCCCAGGGCGCCCGCGCCCGGACGCCCGGACGCCCGGACGCCCGGGCGCCCGGACGCCTGGGCGCCCGGACTGGGCGCCTGAAGCGCCCTGGCGCACGAACGCCCTGGGCGCCAAAGCGCCCGGACGCCCGGGCGCCCGGGGCCGGACGCCCGGGGCTGGGCGCCCGGCCGCCACCGGCGCCCGTCGGGCCCTCGGCCCCCAGGAAACGCCCCCACGCCTGTGGTGCTAGCCGCCCAGGGCGGCCCTGGCGCCCGGACGCCCGGACGCCCCAGACGCCCAGACGCCCGGGCGCCCAGTCGTCGCGGACCGCACCGTACGCCCGGACGCCCAGCCGCCCGGGCGCCCGGGCGCGCGGACGCCCGCGGGCGCCCGGACGAGCGAACCGCGCAGACGCCTGGGAGCCCGGACGCCCGGACGCCAGGGCGCCCGGACGCAGCGCCCAGACGCGCGGGCGCCTGGGCGCCCAGGCGCCCAGACGCCCGGACACCGGGGCGCCCGGACTCCGAGGGCGTCTGGGCGCGCGAACCGCCCAGACGCCTGGGCGCCTGGGCGCCCGAGCGCCCGGGCGCGCCCAGACGCCCGCGCGCCTGAAACGCCCAGACGCCCGGGCGCCTAAGCGCCCGGGCGCCCAGACGCGCGGGCGCCAGAAGCGCCAGGAACGCCCGCGCCCGGGCGCACGGACGCCCGGGCGCCCGGGAAACGCCCAGACGCTGGGAGCGCCCAGGGCGCCCGCGCCCGGACGCCGGGACGCCCGGGCGCCCGGGCGCCCAGACGCCCGGGCGCCAGAAGCGCCGGGAACGCCCGCGCCCGCGGACGGACGCCCGGACGCCTGGGCGCCCGGGAAACGCCCGGACGCTGCTGGGAGCGCCCAGGGCGCCCGCGCCCGGACGCCCGGACGCGCGAACCGCCCGCGCGCCCGAGCACCGGCAGGCGCCCGGACGCCTGGGCTCCGGGGAGCCCGGACGCGCAGACGCCCAGACGCCCGGGCTCCGGGGCGCCCGGACGCCCCGGCGCCTGAAGCGCCCAGACGCCCAGACGCCTGGGCGCCAGGCGCCGGTACGCCCGGACGCCCGGACGCCCGGGCGCCCAGCAGGGGCGCCCGGGCGCCCGGGCGCCTGAAGCGCCCAGACGCCCAGGCGCCGGAACGCCCGGACGCCCGGACACGCCCGGGCGCCCAGCGGGCCAGGCCCGGGCGCCAGAAGCGCCCATGCAGGGCGCCCGCGCCCGGACGTCCGGACGCCCGGACGCCTGGGCGCCTGGACGCCTGGGCGCCCGGGCGCCCGGACACCCAAGCGCCCAGGCGCCCGGGCACCTGAAGCGCCCTGACGCACGGACGCCCCCAATGGGCGCCCAACCGCCCAGACGCCCGGCGGGCCACGCCCAGGAAACGCCTGGAGTATAGGTGGTACTTTGCGGGTGCCTCCATGTAGCACATTTGGAAGTCACACGCATGCCTACATATAACTACGACAACCCATCGTATAACCCAGAAGAAAGTATCCCGGCAAAGCAACCTAACAGCGATGTGTATAAGCATATCTGGAAGCATCCCCCTTAAGATTCAGGTGGGAATCCAGTTTTAGAATTCTGCTGTTCTCGCAGTCGCAGTCGCATTCGCAATGGAAGTCGCAGTGGCAACGGCCTTAGGATCCAATG